CATATGAACTTAAGAAGGCATTGGTTGCTTGACTTCAAGGACTTAGATGGAGGTGAGGTGGTTATGGGAAACAATGTAGCCTATAAAGTGTTGGGAATAGGTAGTGTGACTCTAAATTTGATAATGGATACACCTTTACCTTAGAAAGGGTGATGTATGTACCAGATTTAAATAGAAATATGATTTCAGTTGGAAACTTTGATGACATAGATCTCCAAAGAAAATTTGGAGATAGTTTCTTGAAAATGGTTAAGGGTTCCTTAGTTATTTTCAAGGGTATTATAAGAAATGAGATTTATGTCACTAAGGCAAATGTGTTGAGTCACGCTATTGAATCCTCTATGGCTGAAAATGATACTACATTGAACTGGCATAATAGGTTAGCCCATATGAGTGAGAAAGGTTTGCACATCTTAAGTAAAAAGGGAGCATTTGGTAGTGATGTAATTTCTAAAATCCCCTTTTGTGAATATTGTACCTTAGGCAAATAGTATAGACTTCACTTTAGTATAGGTAAGCATAAGACTACATCTATCATTGAGTATATACATTCTGATTTGTGGGGTTCATCATCCACCACCTCAAGGTGGAAATAGGTATTTTTTTTTATCCTTAATTGATGATTTTTCAAGAAAAGTATGGGTATTTCTTTTGAAAAAAAAATCAGATACTTTTGAAAGGTTTAAAACTTGGAAAACTTTGACTGAAAATCAGATGGGTAAAAAGATTAAAATTCTAAAAATGGATAATGCATTAGAATTTTGTAATGCTGATTTTGAAAAATTATGTAAGGATGATGGCATTTTGAGACATAAAATAGTACCATATACTCCATAACAGAATGGTATAGCTGAGAGGATGAATAGGATAATCCTAAATAAGGTTAGGTATATGATGTTTAGTTCACGTGTCCTTAAATTGTTGTGGGGGGAGGCTGTTATGACAGCAGTTTATGTCATAAATAAGACCCCAACTAGTGCATTAGATGATAGAACACCTGAGGAAGTGCGGATAGGTAGGTTGTCTGACTATACACACTTAAAAACTTTTGGTTGTGCAGCATATTCGCACCAAAGTGTTGGAAAACTTGAGCCTAGATCCCAAAAATGTGTTTTCATAGGATATTTTGAAGGAGTGAAAGGGTATAGGCTTTGGGTAAGAGAAATTAGGGGATTTAAGATGATAACTAGTAGAAATGTAACATTCAATGAAAATGAGATGCCTTGTTTAGATAGAAAGGCCTCTAGTGAGGTTTCGAAGGGTCAGGAAAAGGAAAATTCAAGGCTGTAGATGGAACTTGAACTTTCACCTGATTTTGTTGTTGAAAATCAAAATGAAAATGAGATTGTGGAAGAATCGGGGGATGAAACTGTTCAAGAGCCTACTGGTGAATTAGTGAACCCTTGAGTAATTATCAGTTAGCTAGAGATAGGGTTAGAAAAGAAATAAGAGAGCCTATTAGGATGCAAGACTATACGTCTCTTTCTATGTTGTCTTATCAGTAATTAACCTTTAAGGAGCCTAAATCCTATAAAGAGGCTATTGGTTGTCCGTTTTCTAAGGAATGACAGCTTGCTATGGAAGAAGAAATGAGGTATTTAGTGAAAAATAAGACCTGGAACTTAGGGCCTAAACCTGAAAATAAATCTCTAGTTGACTGTAAGCGGGTTTATGTAGTAAAAGAAGGCAATTTCCCTAATCAGCCCCTTAGATTTAAGGCCATATTAGTGGCTAAGGGGTTTATCCAAAAACCTGGCATAGATTACAAAGAAATCTTTTCTCCCGTTGTAGAATATACTACCATTAGAGTCATGCTTGCATTAGTTGCACAATATGATTATGAATTAGAGTAAATGGATGTTAAAATTGCCTTCTTGCATGGTTACCTTGATGAAACCATATATATGAGACAGCAACAAGGTTTTATTGCTAACAAAAAATCTGATTATGTATGCTTGTTAGAAAGATCGCTTTATTGCCTAAAACAATCTTCTAAGCAATGGTACAAACGTTTTGATAACTTTGTGTTTTCAGTTGGCTTTGTGAGAAGTTCTTTTGACCATCGTTTGTATTTTAAAAAGGATAACAGCAACTATGTGAGTGTTTATTTGCTATTATATGTGGATGATATGTTAATAATTGGCCAGAAAAAGAGTGATATAAATGAGATTAAAAATGTGCTAAGTGCTGAATTTGAAATGAAGGATCTAGGGCATGCTACAAGGATTTTAGGGATGAATAGAAAGAGGAATAGGTCACAGCAGTTATTAATTTTCTCATAAACTGATTATGTGAAGAATGTATTGTCCAAATTTGCTATGCATGATTCTAAATCCGTGACATTACCCCTTGCATGTCATTTTAAGTTGAGTAAAGATCAGTGCCCACATAATGAATCTGACATTAAATATGTGGAAGAAGTGCCATATTCTAATATTGTTGGATCTATAATGTACACCATGTTTGCATACAACCCGATGTTGCACATACTGTAAATACCTTAAATAGATTTATGCCCAACCCTGGCCTTGAATATTGGAATGTAATGAAATGGTTATTAAGGTACTTAAAAGGCTCAGCAGACTTAAGCTTATGTTTTAGACCTAATAAAGAGAAAGTTAGCTTAAAAGGATATGTAGATTCAGATTATGCCATTGATAGAGATAATAGGAAGTCAAGTACACCCTATATGTTTACTTTATGTGATACTTGTATTAGTTGGAAGTCTCAATTGCAATCTTTTGTAGCCTTATCAACTACAGAGGCTAAATATGTGGCTGCAATCAAGGCCATTAAAGAGGCCTTATGTTTGAAAGGTCTCCTAAATGAGGTAAATAAATTTGTTGATCCTGTAGCTCTATATTCGGATAGTCAAAGTGCCATACATTTATGTAAAAATTCAGTTTTTATGAAAGAAATAAACACATAGATGTAAGATCGCATTTCATAACAGGTATTGTACAGAAAGAATTTATTTTGCTTGAGAAAATCCTTACTTAGTTTAATCCCGCTGATATGGGTACTAAGGTACTTCCTTTAAATAAGTTTAAGTCATGTTTGCAACTTTTAAGAATTGATACTGGGTAAATTTTGTGTTGTTGCAAGTATATTTTACTTGGTACTGATGATCTGAAGAAGTTATACCAATTGTTTGAGAATTCTATTGTTACAATTTCTTTTCTTTGTGTGTGTGTGTGTGTTTTTTTTATCATTGGCATCAAGAGGGAAATTTGTTGGGCTGTGATGCTATAATTAATTGGCGGTCCAGCCCACTTTGGGCTATAATGATAAATGGTTGGAAATTCAGATACTACAGGCCCTTGCCCAATAACGCATTAAGTTGGACTCCTTATAGCCCGACCTAAAACTCTGGTAATACAATTGTGTCGTTCTGGTCCATTAGATTTCCTAACCCTATGATCTACGGTGATGACCTTGCCTATGTATTCTTTGGTCTCAGACTTTTGCCCTAATTTATTCTCTTATTCCTCTCGCGTCTTTGTGTGCTTCTTTGAGAAGCTTCTGGGTCTCTCTCCTTCGAGTGACTATGTGTCTCCCCTTTCATCTTCTTCGTGAAACTTGTTCTTTGACCATTAAACTTCTGATTTTCTAGTAAATTTGCGAGTGAGGAATCCTGGTGATCCTTCGATTTTGAATTGGAAAGGATTTTCTGTTGGGTTGGGAGATTTTGGTACTATCGAAGTGATTGCCTCTGTATTCCTTAGTTTAGGGTTGGTTTTTGTGAGATTCAACCTTTGTATAGACGGGTACAAAGTGTGATATGAGCCCAATCGATGAGAACTTGATGTTTTTGTGTAAAGTCTTGGTTCTACGTTTTGAGTTGAACTTGGGTCATTCTTGTAACATTTGTAATTATATATATATATATATATATATATATATATATAAATTATATATATGATTTTTGAAAATAGTGAACTTAATTTATGATTTATGAAATGAGATCTCTAAATATCTTGTTTCCTGTAATTTCCTTTATTATGAATGTGATGAAAAATTTTAGTAGCATACTCTAAGCGTATGTTTGGTTCCCAACTTTTTAAAAATTCATTTTTAATTACACATTTATTCATAAAGTAATATTATATATAAATTAAATTTTTTTTAATTTTTTTTATCACACTTCTTCAAAAAAGTCATTCCAAAACTCATTTTTCTCTCAAATTTCCGTTAAAATGGAGCCCAAACAAGGGCTAAAAATGTTTACAGATATTAAAACGTTATCGCAAACTCTATATTGTGTCCGGCTCTTTTTTTTTTCTTTTTCTTTTTATAAATTCGATTAACTTTATAATCAAAATCAGTAATAATTTTTTTTTTTTTTGTATTTTTGTATTATTAAAACAAACCAACGTTATAGATTTCATAACCTTATTCACCATCAAAATTGCCGAACTTATTAGGTTCAAATTTCAAAGAAGAATATATAGACAGGTGGTCAACCCAATATCCCATACCCTTGTTGTGCTATTTCCATGCGTTCCTCGTGAATTCACCTCACAAAGCGTCAGAATAATCGTGAATAAAGGTTTCGTCTGTAGTACCAATTTTTGCATGAATTTTCTCCACAAATCACGTTTTAATAAATTGCACATTATCATCCACCTCAATTTATTTCATCTCGACCTCTAAAATTTCAAATCGTTAAAAAATAGATAAATTAGTTATGCAGAAATTATTTATTATTGTTGAAACTCGAAAGAATTAAAGAAAGATAACATTAAACGTACCTTATTCTTTAAAAGATGTCATATATTTTATAATGGTTAAAACAAAAGGTCATACCTTATTTTTACAAGGGTAAACTTACACTACGAACATCTGCACGAGATATTAGAGTCGCCCGTAATTTACGATCAATCGTATGATCGTGATTGTTCTCATATCTTGTACATGCTCGTCACACCATAGGAATTTGGCTATACCCAATATCTTGTATTTTATAGTCAGTCAAAATTCAAATTGGTAGCCCCATCCTCTTCCCCCAACAACTCTAATTTCTCTCTCTATATATACAAACACACTACGACTTGTGTGTTCACATTCTTAATTCCATGGTCAAAATTCGAAAGTTTTGAGTTTCCATCTCAACCACCAATTTGTTTCTTCCATTGTGCATGATCATTAATGGAGGTTACACATTGCAAACAGAAGCAAAAGCAGGTTCTGCCATTGCCGCCGCCGCCGTATAGACGAAGAGTCACCGTGTTCGCCGGCAAGTCTCGAGAAGAAGTGAAGCTAGCTGCAATTGCAATCAGCCTCAACGTACGGCTGAGATCAGCCGAGATGCCATTCACCATGCAAGAACGTGCCGTCCGCCACGCTAGATCTCTCCTCGGCTCCACCACCCAGCGCCGCCCTAACCCCACCCCTTTAGCGCTTTCCCTCAAAAAGGTATTAATTTCACCACCCTCTCTATTTATACATATTTGTATATGTTGATTTTTTTATTGATCGATGATGATGGGTGATTGATTAGGAGTTTGACTCGGAGTATGGGCCGGCGTGGCACTGTGTGGTGGGGAAGAGTTTTGGATCGTTCGTTACATATTCGCCTGGTGGTTTCGTGTATTTCTCCATTGATGATTCTCTGTCATTTCTTCTTTTCAAAACGGAGGTTCATTTGGTCAAGGAACCATCATCCACTTGATCAATTCACTGTTATATTTTCACTTTTCACCATTTTCTAGTTTTCTTGCAAGCGTTGTTAATTTCTCTTTGGACTGTAGAAGAAAGAAATGAACATGAAACTGCATGCTTTCTCTAGGGGGTTGAATTTTTCTTTGTCTTGATTATATAGTGAATTGGGCAATCATCTCACAATCAACTCAATCACCAGTATGTTTGGCCAAACTTTTTTAAGATTATGAGGTGATCGGAAATTTTTATGGATGCTTGTTGTATAATTTAAAATATGGAGCACGTGCGACTAGGTTAAGAGTAGTGATAAAAGCACGTGGACGTGCCACTTTTGCTCCCATTTTTTAGAATATTTCGATAAGAACCATAGCTCACATAACGTAGATTAGCTAAGATCTCAAAATATATAGACGCATTAGGATCAAGACTAAAATTTGAACTAAGCTTGGAATGTAGAGAACATTCGGAGACATCATTAGGGGTTGGAATTTTGAGACATGTACAGATGATTTTATGATACTATTCTTTTATTAGAAGTCTCATCCGTAGTTATTTTGGGATTAATTGTCCTGACTCTATTGATGAGATCAATTCACTCTTAAAATGGTTATTAATTTATAAGTTAAGCGAGGTGATACACATTTGGAGTGGTGAAAGAGTTGGGAGGAATAGGCAAGTTTGCAAAGAAGAGGAGGAAAGGGTTTTTGTGGGTTTCTTTTTGTGTACAAGAGAACAAATCAGGGGCCTGCAAAAAGCGTGTTAAAATTTAGAATGAATTGGCAGAGATGCTTCTTATATTTAGACTGTGACATCATAATCTGCCCGATTGACAAACCATGTTTGGTCCAAGTATTGAACTACACGCAACGAGTCATTATTTATATTCCGGGTACGGGTTAGGTGTTTATGTTATGGGCCTTGTCAGGTTTTGTTTCAATTTCCCATAAATTGATTTCTTCTTTCAGTGTCTATACTTACATGGATTTTTCTCATTAATTGAACTGATTAAACCCATGCTTTGGCGCCCCATTGAGAAATGAGATTTTATAATAGACAATGTATAATTAAAAAGTATGTAAAAAAATATTTTATTAAAAATATATATGATCGACAATGAGATTTTAGAAAATGGAGTTCAAATCAGGACTAAGATGTTTGAGTGGTATCACTTGTATGAAAGAGCTAAAAAATTGCTTTTTGATAAAAATGTATGTTCATAATGTGAAGCAAGTTTTGAAAAATTAGATAGTTCATATATGATGTATAGATAAACATGATAATGTCTCTCATTCTTAAGCCTATAAATTGTATAAAGACGAACGTGCTAAACATAACTTAGGTTACGTAAATGACAAACTCTTGCTACACATCTCTTTTTAAGTTTTTACATTATGACGTCACATTTATGCTACCGGTCATGTTACATGTACAATCGAGATTGACAATCCTAGCTGATAATTACACACACGAGAAAGGGGACCACGATGAATAAAAAAAATCGTGGACCCTCCTGTGAGGAGGTTGTCGTCAACCCCTGTACAACTAGCAAAATTCTTTATACTACACACCTATCAATTGTGACTTCCACCTTTTTATAGAGAATAGCTTCTAAACTTAGAGGATTTTACCATTCGTACATCAAAATGCTATATAAGCGGTTATCGAAAAATAATGTGGAGAGAATATTTGATGAAAAAGTTGATTGTGTTTTAAATTAATAAATGATAGAGCTTTATATGATATTATGTAATCCATTACGCAAGTCTTGATATGCATATAATAAGATCCCATCTTTAATCTTACATGGAATCCCAAAGTCAGTGGGGTCACTCTAAGTGTTGGCATTGAGGCATTTCACAAATTCCAGGTGAAAAAAAGTTTTGGACTACATTGACAAGGGTAGCTACTAGGTGAGGATCAAGCACTCGGCGAGCACCCGCGATCGCGCGTGCTGGATCCGTCGGGAGAAATTTTTTATTTTTTTGTTGGTTGTAGATTAAAGTTATACATTATATTACTGGTAATACATATACTTTCAGTCATTTCTTGTATCTTAGTTGGTAGGGGCTCACATGTACATGGCTAGAGTCTTGATTTTAAATCCTTACTACGGAATTTTCTGTGCTATATTCTTTTTCTACAATTTTCACCAAAATTCAATAAGAATGTGGATCAAAGGGTTTCGAATCGATAACCTATAGGAAGAATTGTTATAAACGCAACCACTGTGGTACATTTTAAATTGTGCTATTAGAACTACATTTGTTAGGTTTTAACTATAAAAATTCTAATCGAAACTCTTCCTTTCAGTTATACACAACTTGGTAATAATGTCATTTGATGAATCTTATTTTTTTTTTTTATAACAAAATTATATATGTTCAACTTAAACAAAATAATTATTAATATTTAAAATTTAGGCCTTGTTCGATTCCTATCTTATTCAAAATACATTTTTTTTATGTTCAATTTAAATAAAATAATTGTTATATTTAAATTTTAGGCCTTGTTCGATTCCTATTTTATTCAAAATACATTTTTTTCTTTCCTTTCATACACACATTCTTCAATTAAATAATATTACACACAAATTCAAAATTTTTATTTATTTTTCGCCACATATTCTCCATCAAATCACTATTGCAAAATGCATTTTTTGCAAAAAAAAAAAAAGGGTATCAAACGAACTCTTAAAATTTTATTACGACCCACAGTAAATGATCAATGGCCGCCCGTACTAACTCAAATTCCTAGATTCGCCCCTGGTTGCTACCTGATTTTGCAAAGCGTCAAACTGATCCTCACATATTGAACATTGCGGATCGCTCAATTTTCCATAGTGGGCTTGGTTTCCCCCATTCCAAGCATCATGTTGTTGAGTTGCTCATTCGATAATTTGGAACCTCGTCCCTATATATGATTTTTATTAAGTCCAGCAGCTTGTTTGAGAGCGATTTTTTACCCCAAAAAATTAATTTTTTGATCGTTATTTTATTATTCTAGCCGTCATATTTGATTTCTTCTCTTACAGGTAAACCCTACTTTTCTCTTAATGGTCAAAAAATCAATTTTCAAAATCACTCTCAAATAGGCTCTAGGTGAGTGGGATCTCAACGTGAGCAAATATCACCTCCTTATTGGTTGAAGTTAGTGGAAAATAACTCGCTCCTAAAGTACAAAGCATTACCAATTGTATAGGGTTGTTTGAGTTTCATTTTTTTTTTCTAAAAATTAAATTTTGTAATAATAATTTTTTATTTTGGAAAAAGTAGTTAAAAATAGGGAAAAAAGTTATATTTAAGTATAGAATTATTTTATTAAAAGAATGTGATTGAAAATGAATTCGAGAAAAATAATTTTTTAAAGAATGAGATTCAAATATGGACACAGTGACATCATTTTTTTCCTGACTTAACCTTGACATGAGTGTGATTTTCGAGTGCATACACGTATGGTGACTCCACCCACCATCACCTTGAATGATACATTCAAATCACTTGCAACAACCTACATAAATTACGAATTCAAGTATAATTATTCCATGAGGGATATCATCACAATCCCCCGCATCAAATACCAAATAAGCATAGAGTCGGTTTGATAGATTTAATAATGATTTAAAATAATTTAAAAAGGATAAATTAATTTATGATAAACATATTTTAAGACGGTTTGTAGTACAGTAAACTAGAAAATAGAAATTATAATATTTGCCCTTTGACCCGCTAGAAAAATTGCTAGAGAAACTTCCTTCAGTTGTCCACTTTTCTCGTCTAAGCTCACCTTGCGACCGAAGCAAAAGCAGCAAAACCCACACGAAAAAAAGAGAGAAGAGATACGCTATTGGATCAGTTTTGAATTACTTTTCTCTTGATTTAAATACATACATATAGATCCCTCAAGTGAAATCGAGCTGAGAATTGAAAATGGCCGGAAGATCATCGACGATGATCGTGACGAACACTCCGGCCAAAGATCTCGTCAACACCAATTTTGCCTTCGTCTCACCATCCGATTACCGCAATTTCGTTGTTCCTGGATCCAAGCTCGCCTTCGCTCTTATCGCCGATTCGTTTGTTCTTTCCGTCACATATCCTTTTGCTGCTGCTTCGCATTTTCCACGTACCACACAATCACATTTCTAGAAAATTGTTAGAGCATTGTACATTAATGTTTAGAAATGGACCTATTTCATGTTTTTAAACTAAGTAGCAAATTCTGTGGTATGGTGAATTATATGAATTTTTTAAAATTTAAGCTGTTTTTTATTTATTTTTGAGATGGAGAATCAGATGATCAATTTGGATAAAATATTGATTGAAAGATTTGGTTTTTGCCAAGCAAATTCACGTTGGATTGTTTGAGATTCGATTGAATCCACAATTACTTTTTGTTTGAACGTAGACTGTCTGTCCTAGTTAATTAGAGATCGTTAGTTAATGACTTACTCTACCCAATCAAGAAAACACGTAAGCACTCATATTAGCGCGATATTTTTTCACGAGACGCATGGAAGAATTTTGATCTATAGGCTTTTAATGCTTGATTTGTGTTTAAGTGAGACCACAAAATTTATGTTTCTCCGGGTTTACTTGTGCATGTAGCTAAGTTGTAATGAATATTTGCCGATGAATTGTTAAGATTCAGAGTAATGTTTCGTTATGCCTTAACCATGGTTTACTGGCCATGAAGCTATTCCTAGCGGCTGTATTGCATTTAATGCAGTTCATCGTCGTCAGGCTAAAGTGTCTACTGATGATCCAGTATCTGTCAATAGGTTTGATGGTTTCAATTTTAATGAGCTAGTTGTTAACTGTTGATATTATTTAATCACCTTATTTATTCCTTTTTGGTAATTTATTTCTGAGTATAGATTTTCTCCACCTGAAAATTTCAATCTTGCTTTGCTTACTCTCGAGTTGGAGTTTGTGAAAAAAGGGAAAGATGAACAGGTGAATTTTTAATTCCTGGGTCCTATATATCTGTCATACTCTTTCAATGATTGCATATCATTTATTATGAGATTGTTGTTTAAAAAAATTGATATCACGTAGCAGTGTGGCTTATGCATATCAATTATGATGAAGAGTTCGTTTACCCTTGTGCTTTTGTCCAATTAACTTGGCACAAAGTATGTTACCTTGTAGGTGGATGCCGTTCTCTTGTCTCAGCAAATTCGCAAGAAATTTAGTAACCAGGTGAGTGCAGCATCTTTATCTCTCTCGTAGCCTTATAGAAATCTTGGAGCCGCTGCAAATGGAATATATGTTTTCCAATGTTATTCCTAGCATTCCAACACGTCAGCTGACCTGCAAAGCTTTTCGCTTATGGTAGGGTTAGAACAAAAATTGCTAATGCTTATTCGTACACAAATCAAGTGTTAAGTATATACAGGCCCTGTTCGACGGGGATTTTGATAATTAATTTTTTGACCATTAGGAGAAAAGTGGGGCCATCTGTGAGAGAAGAAGTCAAAAATTACGATTGGAATAGTAAAATAACGGTCGAAAAATTAATTTTTTGAGGTGAAAAATCACTCCCAAACACCCCAATAATGTTCAACGATTTTAAGATTTGACAAAAACATTTCATTATTTCCATTGATAACGTATTCCTGACTCCTGTAGACATTTCTTTACTTAAATAGCCTCCTTGCATTCCAACACCTGATGCATAAAACTTTCTGCTATGGTAGGGATTTGACAAAAAACTAATGCCTATATTTGGTTGCATGATCTTAGATGAATCAAGTTTTGAATATATATAACTTCCAACAAGATTAAGATTTTATTGAAATATTTCATTCTATTGTGAATGTACTCCCATTTGCAACTACTGAAACAC